CCTTCAGATGTTGACGTCTTCATGATCCAATCGATCAGCAGCAGAAAGAGAAAGGGTGACACTGGTGTTTTTTTCGAACGACTTTTTCGACTGTTCTCCATGAACGATTTTGCAGTGTAATCCATCGTAGGAATTCTCTATGTTATTAACTGTCTTCTCAGACAAGCCGTGGTGTCGAAGAATCTTCCATAGGGTTGTTCTGTCCACGCTATCAAATGCTTTTTCGTAGTCAATGAAGTTGATGAAGAGTGGTGAGTTCCATTCAACTGATTGTTCTACAATGATCCGTACAGCTGCGATTTGATCTGTACACGATCTGTCCTTACGGAATCTTGCCTGTCGATCACAAAGTTGGGCGTCTAAGGAGTCCTTCATCCTGTTTAACAATACCCTGTTGAAGACTTTTCCTGGTATTGAAAGAAGAGTGATTCCCCTGTAGTTATCGCAGTTGCTGAGATCGCCTTTCTTTGGTATTTTGACTAGAAGTCTTTCTTTTCAGTCTTTTGTTACCTGTTCCTCATCCCAAATCTTTCCGAAGAGAATGTGGAGTATCCTTGCAGTTACCTCTACGTCTGCTTTCAGTGCCTCTACTGGAGTGCTGTCTCGTCCTGCTGCTTTGCCACACCTGATTTGTCTGATGGCCATGCTGATTTCCTCAATTGTCGGTGGGTTATCCACAAGACCGTTTTTCGACCAGACTGTTCTGTGAGATAATGGGAGATTGAAATATACGGAGGGTATCCTGAATTAGTGTAAATTACGAGTAAGCGAAGGTGAAAAAGTTCAGAAGTATTTTTGCAGATATTCTACTTTTCTATTGATTATTGTCCGTGATGAAGATCATGATCATCCTGCAATTTTAAGTGAACGAGAAGAAAGTTAATCGATGATGTGGAATGGATAGTGGATGTCTGTGCTGACAGTATGCATGATACTTCCCATATGCAAACTTTCGGCACGGAGGATGCTCAAGATGCAGTTAGGGGCTTGTGACTCATACATTGCTATACCCTACTCTTTCCACGTATTCAGAGCTTTACGTAAGAATGTAGATGTAGTTGTAAATGTTGTAAATCTTTTTAGTTGCACATTTGGGAAGACAACGTTTCACAGTTCAGTGCAGCAGTTATTGTGACACTTCATATTATCAGGTAGTTGTACACTTTGATAATGCACAACATGTGCTTGCCAACAGTGTTGTTCACTTTCCTAGAGAGCAGGAAATTCTGCGCAATATGAAGTGTTTTTGAGTGAATAGCGGAAGACTATTGCAAGTATTTGTAGTCTCCTTGGCCTCTGAAATCCCAGAGAGAGTGAATAAAAATTCGACAAGAATCTTCAGTAGATAGGTACGAACTTAGTTTTCTCGTAAGTTGTCCTTGTCTGACTCACTATTTTTATCAACCTAAGTTGCAATTCCCCAACACTAAATATCAAAATCAAATGTAGATACAAAACAAAAATTCACAATTTTATGAACATTTTTTTCCTAAAGGTAAGAAACATTTGTTCACTGAATATCTGTGTGCAGGAATAAAACCCCAGTTTCTTGATGAATAAAGTGCTTGCTACTCAGAACGACAATCAAATCAATCCTGTGACATTAATCTCTAGTAATTTAGAACCAAGTTCACAAACTGTGGTACAAGTTACGTTAAATAAATTAATCACGCCTGTTACTTCTCGTGGAGAGGCATGGGCCATCCATCAGCATTCTCTATCCAGCACGGTTCCAGGCAATCATTTCCAGTTGTTCCCAGTCGCTATTCACCACTTTCATATCTGCTACCAATCCTCGACACAGTGTGTTCCTTGGCAGTTTTCTCTTCCGTTTCCCTTCTGGATCCCAAATTAGCAATTTGATTATTTCCTCAATTTACGTCCTATCTACTTCCTACGTCTTTTCCTAATTTCCTCTTCGACTGGAAGCCGGCTCGTTCTCTCCTACTGTGAACTGTTACTTCTTACCCTAATTTCCCATATTTTTAATAAGCTGTCCCCTAAATATTAGTCGCTTTTTGTATTTGCAGCGATACGAAAAGGTAAACTTGTAACGGAAAGAGAACGATGATGAAGGCATGTTGCTTATTGGTTGTGACGTGCCTGAAGCGCGTTGGGCCATGGACCAAAGTTTAGTTGAAAGAAAGAGTCCTTATGCTGTTAGATCACTGCTAGGATAGACTCTTTTTGGGCCAGCAGGTCACAACAAACATGGGGAAATGACTGTAAATTATATTTCTCAAATTCATGTCCCTGTGGAGCATAACTATGAGTTTGCTGACGACTATTCCTCTGGTGAATCATTGTCTCTGAATGATTCAAATGTAAGTAGCATAGTAGAGAGCGACGCTTATTTTCATGAAAGTTACAAAAATTGTTCCTTTAACTAGAGGAGTGACTGAGAAAGACGTTGCTGCCTCTGTAATCAACAATGAGTCTAGTATGTGTAAAGCTGGCTTCGCCGAAGATGATGCTTCCAGAGCCGTATCTCCCTCTATTGTTGGAGGAACCAGACATCAAGGAGCTATGGTGAGAATTGATCGAAAGGACAGTCATGTGGGAGACGATGCTCGATCGAAACGTGATATTTTGACACTGAAGTGCCAAAATGAACATGGTATTGTGACTAAGTGGGATGATATGGAGAAGATATTGTACCATGCATTCTACGACGAGTTGCGAGTTGCAACAGAGGAACATCCAGTGTTGTTGACAGAAGCTTCATTTAACTCGAAAGCAAACCGTGAGATGACACATATCATGTTTGAAACTTTTAATGCACCAGCTATATATGTTGCTATTCAAGCGGTGTTGTCACTGCATACATCTGGTCGAACAACTGGTATAGTGTTGGACCTATGTGAGGGTGTGACACACACACTTCCGATTTATGAAGGTTACGGATCGCCTTATGTTATTTTGTGTCTGAGTCTTGCTGGTAGTGATCTTACCGACTTTATGATGAAGATCCTGACTGAGACAGGTTGCAGTTCCTCTGTTTATTTGTGGAACATTCTCAGGCGCAAACCTCCGGACAACGTTTTGCTTTATAGTAAACCACTAGTCTTAGTGAGAAGGGTAACATATAGATTTCTGGAGGGGGCGGAATAGCAGCAGACTGTATGAAAGGTGTATGAATGTACAGGCGTACTGTTTTAAGTCCTGTACTACCCACTGATATAGAGCATTTAGTAAGGAGAGCCATGACAGGAATGTATTCTAAGGTGTCTTTGCTCAGTTGGGGGGATTTCGGGGGTCGGTGTAACGGAAAAAACGATGAAAATACCTCCACAGCTTTTTTGTTGGACAGTACTATCAGTTATTTGTTTCTTCTCCCTGTCGTGTATATTAACGTTTGTTCAGATCACCTTTAGCCACACCTTTTGCTCTTCAGTGTTCCTCGTCTTAGCTTTTATTACGTGATTTTGACTAAAGACTTATCTTTTGTTACCTGATTTTCCACTGCATGTTGCCGGACTATTGACAGTAAGGTTGTATTTGACTAAGCTCAAGGTTACGGAGTGGTTCAGTGTGTGAATGTTAACCTTTTGAGTGTCTGCTTGGGAGGATTGCTGGAATCCCTGCAGATAGATATTCCATCCCACCTTGTTGGGAATATTTTTATTGATTCTCAGGTATCGAGTGCTTTGGTATTAACTGATTCTTTTATTGTTTAGAGCGCTACTTTGCGTTAAAGAAACTTCTGACTGTATAGCACAGGTTGTACCGTTTGAGATATTTTGCATTTTTGATATAATTTGTTCTATTTCCTAAATTAGGACCGTTTAAATTGAGCACAGAGTTTGTGTTTTGATATAATTTAATACGAGTGTCTCAAGAACGCTTAGCGAGCTATACAGAAAAGCGTAGTCTAGCCTATTCAAATACGTTTTGGTTCGTCAGTCCTGCGTTCAAACCGAATGCTGGCAGTTTGGTCGTTACAAGTTTGGTGTTGCTAACTGGTATAGGTGTTAATATCAGTCTTTTCTCAAGACGTCTTGCATTTCAGATTTTAAGTGTACGTTGCAATGCTTTTATGGCCAACGATATACTCACAGAACGCCATCTTCGGATATATTCTTTAGTGTATCAAATTACCATCTATGCATAGTTGTTTGTTTATCCTGAAAATATAGTATTTATTAGAGTGTGAAAAGCTAAAGATTCGAATTTCAGGGACTTCCAACTGAATGAAGTAAAAAATTACTTCTATAAACTTTGAACGATGGAAATCCCTCCATAATCCAAAGACTTGGTAGCAGCAGCTTTGGTTGGACAACGCGAAACAGAATGATGAATAGAACTCTCGAATCGGAGATAAATCCCCCGGTCAAAATAAACTAATATAAGCGCCTGTCTTAGCAGCTCAATCGTGCATCTACCGGGCTTGCATTGAATATTTTGCACGACCAGTAAAATGTCATGGATTTTGCAAAATTATCCGTATTCAGGTCACTAAATGTAGAGTGGTTTATCCACCTTATTTACTGTCAGGGCGACAAACCAACATCGATGAATTTCTCGCTAAGAACTGGCCGACGGAGTGATGATCACACTCTTATCCTTTCACCTACTTTTACTAATTTATTTCCATTCTAGAGTCGTTTGTGTTGTACGGTCACCAAAGTAGCCCTAGTGCGTGGGTATGGCAACAAGTTAATCCATATTACGTACCAAATTTGATGTGTTACTTCGACGTAAGCTGGCAAGTCTCACCATTACTATCTGACTAGAGTAGATCAGCAGTCATTCGACACATATCGTCTATGTTGATGATCTACAATTCATTATATTTTTCCAGATCGCATTCATTTTTAGCACATGAGACAATGTACAGCAAGAATTCTCAATCGGCAATAACCAAATATAGGGTATTCTTGCCAGGTTATCTACTAATGATTTGGAGATGAAATGATAACAGTGTTCAGATCTACCAAAAATTTTAAATATGAATGCAAACACTAAAAAACTTACAAATGACGATGACCTTTATGGAAGGTCACAAAATTTCAAAATTTCGTTACAATGGGTGGTGTTTTTTTAGTGTGAGGTTGTAGCCGAAAGGTAATGGAAGTGTCTAAAGTTTTCATATGAACTCTTTGTAAAAGTTGAAATATTGCACGAAGTTATCGGACTTGTAAGCTGAGATAAAATTTTTTTACAGGGGTTCACATAATGTTACTGAATTCAGCATTCTGGATTAGTTTTGTTTGATAGGATCAGTTGTTTAGACTTGCATCATGTAAATAATATGATGTTTGTTGATGACGTAACCCCGTTTTGCTCGTCAGGACGTATGTTGTCAAGTAATTTTTTAAGACAAACAAAGCTTACTATCCGTCTCATGCATACAATTGTGTACCTCAGTTTTATCTCTTGAAGATTTACTTTAAAATATTTAGCCTACGAAATCCGAAATCGTATGGAAAGGAACTGTTCGTGGGACTTGGTCTATTTAAGTACCCAATTCATTTTATCCTGTAGTTAAAGATTTACTATAGTATATGCACTTGCGAACATCGAGCATTTGTTCTTAATAGTATTTTTCCTGTAAAAGGCATCAATATTTTTGTTTCTGCATACCCACATCATTTTTCATGTTATGGTCGAAATACACTTCGTTCAAGCTTGTGTATCAAAACGTAAAAGTGCTTAAAACCTTGGGATTTTTCTCAACATGTTAGACCTGTAACGATCTGTTGACTTACATATAACCGTTCTGGCGATTGTTCAATACTCGTATTTATGTCCAAATGATTTGTCTAAAACATACAGAGATCTTCACAGTTGTGGACGTAGAATCTGATACATTTATGCAACCCACTACTTCATAATACAAATAAATATCTCTCATATTCACATTCTGACGCGCAAATTAATACAGTGACAGGTTATGCGAATTCACATTTACCAAGGATAACTTGACGTTGACATATTCAGACCTATTATAATTTTGATTGTATTAAAAATATTCCGCTTTGTTCCCTTTGTACTATTTAAGCTTGTGTTAATTTGATTATTTATTTACTCTGGAGTGGCTTACATTAAGTTACGAAATGTCAGAAATACAAATTTTCTACTCATTGGGATATATATATAGTCATATATTTATCGGTTTATTTTGCCTTATCACATCAGCACATCTGGATAAAATTACCAAGCCAAATGCTGGGGAAGTTGAAGTAGTAACAGAACCAATGGTATCAGAAAAAATCAGGTTTTGAGTGCATTGAAGGAGTATTAGGAAACTTCGGAACCTAGAATCTAAGAAGATTATTAAGATCAAAGTTGAAGCCGAATTTTTATTTGGTCTTAGTCCCAAATAAACTAGAATGTTATTAAAACATTAGTCTTCATCATTAAGCTTCCCGCCTTTTTAGTTCTTATTTATAAATTATCGCTCGTCATTTTCCTTATAATACTTTACACCTGATAGTGCTATTCTGATCAAGTGATTCTGGACCATTCGGTCCTGGAGAAGCATGTTCAATATACTGCGAGTTCGTAGGTGGCTTTAATTATGATAATGAAGTGAAAAAAGTTGTCTACACTTTGCACATTATATTCACTCACTGTACGTTATCAAATCATTCATTATTCGCGAAATTGTAGTGTAAAACCATCTTAGTTTTAGCTAATTGGTAGTGTATTCCAATACATCCATTACCTCCGATTCATCTTCATCTGTAAACGTTTTCCACCGTTTTCATATTGCATAGTGTGCATAGTGCACAAAATTATATCCATACTTTTCATATCTCTCTAAGCAATATTAAAAATACATACCGAGCACCATTATATTTGCTTGTATTTGACGTCACAATAGGTTTTTTAGTTTTTACCAAAATGCACGATTTTATTTAGGGATCCAGACACGTAATTATTCCATCCAAATAAATTTAAAATGTATATGTTTATTACAGTGGCTTGATAGTTTTGAAATCGGTAGCCGAAAAGTCTAATCAGCATTCCACTTGTGTGGCAAAGCTGCTCCGTACGAAAATGTAATATCATTTAAGAAACTATCTACTATCTCCATATTTGCTCAACTTCATCATAGACCTACTGCTGGAAAACATGTTCTTGTCGACTGAATTTTTGGGCATTGATCTCCTGCCACGAGATCCACTTATTGACTTAGAACACAAGATGACATGGTCCTGTTTAGTGAGTCTTTTGGTAGCACTGAGCAACAATGCTAGGAAGTTTGGGATGCGTTTCTTCCTTTCTAAATTCAAGTAGTTGTTTCAGGACTGGTCTTCATCAACACCTGAACTCAGGAAAACGAGTGAAGTAGTCGAACGCATTGACAACACATATTGAACGGCTGATCCGTTGTAATGGGTTAGTGTCTGACGAAATATCTGCACGGATTCAGAAGGCTCGTTTGGCTTTTGCCAACTTACATCACCTATGGCAAAGGCGAGATATCCGTTTAATTAATTTGTTTATTCATCAATATTGGTACAAAGGGGCACCGAATACATATGTGCCACATGTTTGCTGATTTGTGTGTGGGCTGTGATGCTGCCCGGGTGCCAAAACCGAAGCAGGTGGTTTCCTTAGGGGTCACACCCGGATCCCTCGACCAAAAGGTCTGATCCACAAGGCGGTGGAGCAACATCAGGAGATGTAGTCCCAGGGTAGCCAGTGATTAACAATTGGTTCATACGCCATTTATTCCTTCAGGATGCTGGAACCCATGTTCACCATTGGTTTGGAATCAGGGTTTTCCATTCCCCCTAGATGGATCCTATAAGCAGATAGTTCATCTGCTTATAGGGTTCACGTTGTTCCTGTAACAACTATCGGGGGATAAGTCTACTTCCGATTGCGTCCAAGCTATTGGCTTCCGTCATACTTCGTAGGTTGTTCAGAACCCGAGAAAGATTGACTCGCGAGGAGCAGGCTGGGTTTTCGTTCTGGTCGAGGATGTATTGATCATATCTTCACCCCTCCGCCCAAGTGTTAGAACACCGCCATACTTATCAAAGGCCAACAATCGTAGTGTTTCTTGATATCAGGGCCGCCTTCGATTCGTTGGACAGAACTGTTCTCTGGGATTGTCTATTGAAGAAGGGTGTGCCTGAGAAGTTTATTAACATCCTAAAAGCCCTATACACAAACACCTCAGGCAGAGTGAGGGCATACAACCACCTTTCTCCACTATTCCATCGAGCAGTGGGGTTAGGCAGGGTTGCCCAATCTCACCATTCCTCTTCAACTTTGCCATCGATGACATTCTGGAAACAGCTCTGACGGATGTAAGTAATGGTGGTGTGGATCTGTTGCCTGGAGAAAGACTTCTCGACCTTGAGTATGCGGATGATATTGTCTATTGTGCGAGAATGCCCAAGCTGTGCAATCCGCACTTAATCAGTTGGCAATCGGTGTCCGTAGGTATGGTATGTGCTTTGCACCTTCGAAGTGCAAAGTTACTTCTACAAGACTGGCAGGATTCTAATCCTGTACTCACTCTGGGTGGTGAGCAGATAGAAGTAGTCGAGAAGTTCGTGTATCTAGGTAGCTGCATAAGTGCTGGTGGTGGCATGAGTGATGAGATCAATGCACGTATAGTGAAAGCCAGAGCGGCTTATGCCAATCTGGGCCATCTTTGGCGCCTTCGTGATGTTAGTCTGGCTGTAAAAGGTCGGATCTACAACGCGTCGGTGAGAGCAGTTTTGCTCTATGCTTGTGAAACCTGGCCTCTCCGAGTTGAGGATGTTAGACGACTCTCTGTGTTCGATCATCGTTGTCTCCGAAGGATTGCTGGCATCCAGTGGCAACACCATGTCAGTAATGCAGAGGTTCGGCATCGAGTGTTCGGTCACAGAGACGATAATGAAATTGGTGTCACCATCTTGAAACACCGACTTCGGTGGCTTGGACATGTTCTACGAATGTCGTCCCAGAGAATTCCTCATCGTGCATTATTTGCCGTCTCTGGGACTGGTTGGAAAAAGCGGAGAGGTGGTCAGTATATGACATGGTGTCGTGGTATGAAAGAAAGCTGCAAAGGGCTAGCTTCTGTTGGTCCTTCACGACTCCAAGGTTGGGGTCCGAAAGACGGTGTAACGCAGTGGCTAGAGACGTTATCAGATATGGCTCAGAATAGAAGCCAGTGGCGATCGTGCTGTAACCTTCTTTTACTTTCTTCATAAAAAGTGGTTGTATCTTCCTTAACTGAAAGATCTCTTCTGATTGTACCTTTCCGTTTCCCCCACCACTGTTCTCTCTCTCTCCCTTTTTTATAATTCCTCACGTTCATTCTTTTTTTTTCTCTTTTCTCCTTCTCTTCAAATTATCATTGTTTTGTGTGGCACATATATATTTGGTGCCCCCCTGTACCAATATTTATGTGTTCAAATAAATAAATAGATGGATCCTCCATACCCACCAACCCTGTTAAAGTACCGAATATTCTCTTTTCATTCTCTCAATTTCGTAAACAACTATAATTTCGCCAGAAGACAATGAGTTGGACTTCCCTGACAGTGGTTGTATACGCGTGGTAATGTGAGAGCATTTCTAGAGGGAGAGCTAACTCTCCTCACCCTCGGTCGTACCAGGCCATTCGGGGGCGAGTATACTACGCAGCAGTTCGTTCTGTTCTACTTTATGGCTGAGAAACGGCCATTAAAAGTAGAAGATACTCGTAAGCTACTAGTATTTGATGACAGATATCTTAGAAATGTTGCTCGCATCTTCTGGGATCACCGGGTAAGTAATAGTGAGGTTAGACGTAGAGTATTAGGGAATGATGGTAAATTAGTTGATGAGGTTGTGAATCTTCATTGACTGAGATGGTTGGGCCACGTGTTACGTATGCATGAACACCGATTACCACGACGCGCAATGATGATTAGTGTTGGGAATTGTTGGAAGAAAGTTAGGGGCTGCCAAATCAAAACGTGACATCAGTCCTTGAAGTCACTAACTTCTTATCTGAGCCATGTTGGTAGATGCCAACTTCTTGATTGGGGTCCGTGTGACTATCATAACTTGTGATTGGAAACTGTTGGTGACATGGCTCAGAATTGATCACAATGACGTTAGGTGTATAC